AAAAATTAGCTGGGCATGGTGGCGCGTGCCTGTAGTCCCAGTGACTCAGGAGGCTGAGGCAGGAGAATTGCTTGAACTCAGGAGGCAGAGGTTGCGGTGAGCCGAGATAGCGCCATTGCACTCCAGCCTGAGTAAGAAGCAAAACTCCATCTCAAAAAAAAAAAAAAAAAAAAAAAAATTCGTCTCCATGTGTACACATACAATAATTTCTTTATATACCTAGGTGTGGAATTGCTAGGCATGGCATGATTTCCATGTTTCTAGAATTACATTGTTTTCAGCAAGTGGTTTCTCATGGTTTAAGATAACCATGTAAAACTGTACAAGGCAGGAAGAAGGTATCATATGCTCTCACTGCAAAGATGGTGACTCACAAGAGATCTAGGAAGACTGCTTCAGAGGTTGCAGCTCACCTGCATTGTGGAACTGAGGCTGGGAGCCACTGCAATCGATGACCACAGACTTATGCTGCTCCTCTGTCATGGCCATGCACAAAGAAGTCATGGTGCCTTCATGAATAAGTCCTTGAAGACTGGCCACACTCAAAAACCTGCCACACACACAGGCCAATTTCCACAAACAATATTGCAGGACAGAAGGGTGAAAACAAATTTATTTTGCACTGGGCTGGTGGGGAAAGGGATGTGGGGCCGGCTTACAAACAGATGTCATTCTTGCTGTGGAAAAGCTTTTCTCTGTGAAAAAACTGTGTTCTTTACCTGTTAATGTCTCTCTTTGTTTTTTCATCTGATTCTTTAACTTCAACAGGAGTATAACTCAAAGCCTATGAGAGAAAAATAAAGCCTGATCAGTACATATATTCCAGTTTTTCTTGAGCAGCTACTCATGACTAAATGTCCCCAAAAGTCCTTACCATACTTGACAATTGATGGGCACTAGTCATAAGCTCTCCAGTCTTGTTCAGCCACTGCTCATTAACATTTTTATAGAATCAGAATTGCTTTGGACTTTTGTTTTCCTTTTCAAATTGTTTTGGAAACTATACCTTTCCCAGATCACTTTGAAAAGGAATTATTTTAAAATGTTTTATCCTATTAGGAAGACTCAGTCAGCATTTGTAATTCAACTCTACCTTAGTAATATAACTTTCTAGATCTCAGAAAATAAAGTGTGGTCTATCTGGATAGCAAGCATAGTTTAAGTGAATATTTTGGGAAGGGGTGTGGAGTCATGTTCAAAGAAAATGAGTATTTTTCTAAATGAGCTAAAGTGATCTCAGTTAAGGAAATGCTCTCATTTGGACAGTACTTACAGCATGTAGCAGAAAGGTAAGCTTTTCTTGAAACAGAAGAACCACCCTTTGGATTGGGCATACAACATCCTCAAACCAGCTGCTCAGATAGGATTTTAAAGGACTCTCCAGGCCCCTTTCCTAAATCAAGAAAGAATGTCATTTGCTTTAATATAAGCCTTCCTTTTAGTGGACTTAATATTTTCTTCATCATATCCTTGGTGCTGAAAAAGACCAGGATAGACACTTCCTTTTTTAAAGCTAAAACCAGCAATTCAAAAAAAAAAATTCTGATATACTTTTCCTGGCTTGTTGGGTAGGGTAAGGATTAAGTCTGTACTGAATGTATAAAATGAAGAGACTGAATTAATAGGGTTCTATGTTATTTCTTCACCAGGAAGAGCTGGACATTTATGTGTCCCTCTCCTCCCACTATACCATGCACTCAATGGAGATACTCATTGAATAATTCTCATTTCCCCGGCACCTGTGGTACAGTGTCTAAAACATGCCTAGTATGCACTTAAGTATCTAATGAATGACTAAACAAATGCAGGTAGAGAATTCATTCGTATTCAGAATGTGAATAGGGAAGGATACAAGTAACTCATCAAAGCACTCCAGCCCACTCCAGATGTCAGACAGGCTGCCATAAGCACATCTGGCTTTCTAGGCTATGCTGTTCTCTGGAGACTAGTGTCACACAAGAGGAGCTCTAGTCTCGAAGAACAGCTCCCCTAGACTTGCATCCCTTGCTCACTCCTGTACTATCCTTTCCTCTCTCCTGTAGTATCTTCTAAGTATGTGAAAAGTAAAACTACTACTATATAGGTAATGGGTAGTAAATTTGTGAGGGTCATGACTAACAACGGCTGCAAGCTGAAAGCATTGTTTTTGTTTGCTTTTTTGAGACAGGGTCTCGCTCTGTCATCCAGGCTGGAGTTCAGTGGTGCAATCACAGCTCACTGCAGTCTCAACTTTCCAGGCTGGAGCGATCCTCCCACCTCAGCCTCCCAAGTAGCTGGGACTACAGGTGGGTGCCACCATCCCTGGCTAATTTTTGCATTTTTTTGTAGAGATGAGGTTTCACTTTGTTGCCCAGGCTGGTCTTGAACTCCTGGGCTCAAGTAATCTGCCTGCTTCAGCCTCCCAAAGTGCTGAGATTGCAGGAGTGAGCCACCACACACAGCCAATTTTTAAAAGGTTTGAATAAATTAGTTAATATGGATATGCCTAATTCATAAAAGATCAATTAATGAAAATAGAGTGTCTCTAAGAATCTTCAATGTTGAGTTCAAGAACAATACTACTGCATAGCATGTCTTTGGTGCCACAGGCTGCATGGACCACTACTTCTGACCATAATATAAATCTTATATGCCTAGAAATCAGGCAAAGGACATCCTCTTCCTCACCAGACATGTTACTACATGCCATTGAATAGACAGAATTCTCCACAGACATAAAACATCAGAAGTAGTCTTATAAAACTTTCAGCACTCATGGGACTATGTTCCCTATATCCCTTTAAAATCACCTGTAGGCTGGGCGCGGTGGCTCACACCTGTAATCCCAGCACTTTGGGAGGCCGAGGTGGGTGGATTACTTGAGCTCAGGAGTTCAAGACAAGCCTGGGCAATATGGCAAAACCCCATCTCTACCAAAAATACAAAAATTAGAGGGCATGGTGGTGCATGCCTGTGGTACCAGCTACTTGGGAGGCTGAGGTGGGAGGACCACTGGAGCCCAGAAAAGCTGCAGTTGAGCCATGATCGTGCCACTGCACTCCAGCCTGGGTGACAGAGTGAGACCCTGTCTCAAAAAAATAAAAAGAAAAAAAGAAAAAGAAAAAGAAACCACCTGTAAGCCGGGCACAATGGCTCACACCTGTAATCCCAGCACTTTGGGTGGCTGAAGCAGGAGGATTGCTTGAAGCCAAGAATCCTAGATCTGCCTGGGCAACAAAATGAGACCCCATCTTGATAAAAAATACCGAAAGTTAGCCAGGTGTGGTGGTATGTGCCTGTAGTCCCAGCTACTTGGGAGGCTGAGGTGACAAGATCGCTTGAGCCCAAGAGGCTGAGGCTGCAGTGAGCCTGATCACATCGCTGCTCTCCAGCCTGGGCAACAAAGCAAGACCTTGTCATTTAAAAAAAAAAAAAAGTCACCTCTCTACTAGCTCACAGAGTGGCAAGTTTCTAGAATATAGATGTCTTTGTGTCTACCTACATGATTTGACAAGTAGAGCAATCACAATATGTTAATCACTTCAGTCTTTAAAAACCACTGTCACCTTACCTCACAGTTCATGTTATTTTTCAGGCCTTGAATGTACTTGTCCAATTCAAGCCTGAAAGTATGTTCTTAAGGAAGCAATAAAGGATGAATAATGAAGATAGTATTTTGTCTCTGAAGGAGAAATATAAAAGCTCTCAAATAATGTAAGCTGCAAATGAAAACAAGCCAAGGCAAAATGGCCACATGAAGGTATGAAATTCAATTAAACACACAAGGAGTAGAAAAGCTTTCTGGATGTTGGTAGTAATATTCTTCCACCTGCCTTCCCATGTTTTCCTTCCTTATGTCCTCAAAAACCAAAGAAAGGATATAGCTCAAGTCCTTTGTCAGAGCCTCCTAAAAAACAGACCACATATTCTGAAGGGTTATGTTCAGAGTCCATTGTTACTGTTTCAGGAAGCAGTTTTTCATTTTGGAAAAGGCAGTAATAACAACCAACTCGGTAACCTGGAATTCTAGAAAAGAAAGAAAAAGGTAAAATGTATTATTTTGGTTACTCATGCATCTATAGTTTTGCGGACTGCTCTGAATTCCAGTCATCTTGATCTGGCAACATCATTAAACTGCCCACTAATTCAGAGCTTCCCAGACTTCTCGTTGGTTTACTTGTAGCAGCAAAGAAAAACAAATGTATACCCTGGTGGGCTTTAGTTAAAGCAGCCCCTAACATCCATGAAATTTCTTTGAATTATCCTGTCTTATGCGAAAAAGTCACACAAATTTCACTCTAGTTCATACCCATGTTTATATTAATAAAAGCATGGCCGGGCGCAGTGGCTCAAGCCTGTAATCCCAGCACTTTGGGAGGCCGAGGCGGGTGGATCATGAGGTCAAGAGATCGAGACCATCCTGGTCAACACGGTGAAACCTCGTCTCTACCAAAAATACAAAACATTAGCTGGGCATGGTGGTACGTGCCTGTAATCTCAGCTACTCAGGAGGTTGGGGCAGGAGAATTGCCTGAACCCAGGAGGCGGAGGTTGCGGTGAGCTGAGATCGTGCCAGGGTAACAAGAGTGAAACTCCGTCTCAAAAATAAATAAATAAATAAATAAATAAATAAATAAATAAAAGCATGCTCTCCCCTCTCCCAAACCTTCACAAATTAATGCTTCAGGCAGATGTGCCAGGTGGCCTCATCCTTGGGATGTGGCCTCATACTCCTGAGGGGACCTGTATGCTAACTTCACAGTCTGAATTGAACTATAATAAAGAGGTGTAATGGAAAGACAGTTGGAATTGGACTGAGAATGCTCATGTTTAAGCCTGAATTCCATCAATTTGACCAGAAAATTTACATAAACTTCTCTGAGTTTATTTCCTCATCTGAAAATGGAAATAAGAGTATCTGCTATATTTCCCCTTTGTAAGGAGAACTGCATCAAAGTTTGTGAAAACACTTTACAAACTGTATACACTTTCAGTTTTAATAATCGACTCTTTTCTTCTTCTAAGTACAAAACTTATTAGCCTGGGCAATATGGTGGGACCCCAATTCTACAAACAAACAAACAAAAATTTTAAAAATAGCTGGGCATGGTATTAGCTGCCTGCAGTTCCAGCTACTTGGGAGGCTGAGTTGAGAGGACTGCTTAAGCCCAGGAGGTCAGAACTGCAGTGAGCTGTAATCATGCCACGGCACTCTAGCCTGGGCAACAAAGCAAGACCCTGTCTCAAAAAAATAAAACTAATTAAATAAAGTACATTTGGGTGCCAGGGTCTCTGCCATTCAATTAATTTCATTCCACAAATGTTTATTTGTGAGGCCCAGTGCTTGGGCTGCCAGAGAACAAAGAAATTCTGCAGGTCTAGTAGGAGCTGCTCTTTTGGAGTTTCTATCACTTCTCATATTTAGTTCAGAAATAAAAACTCAGGATACAGCACATTTTGCACTTACCTCAGCTCCACAGATGCAACATGACCCAGTCCTTCAAAGACTGCACCTTTTGAAAGACGCTTAGCAATGAAACTGCGCAGCTCTGGCTCCACTTCGGTTGGTAGATTACTATCCACCAAGGAGAGGCTTGACAAATGAAAGACACACATTCTTTACCGGTAGACCAGTGTATTCACACCCTTTAAGTCAGACAAAATGGTACCAACGCCAGGGTCTCTTTTAAGGACTGGGGAAAGCTGTCCTTATGACCCCTATTGGTGAGGTTTCTAGGAATGTAGATCACTAAGTATGATCTACTTCATCAAATAGCTTAAAATATTCCTATCTTTCCAGCTCATTCTCTCCAGTATTGTGACTCCACTGGAAACCCCAATCCACTGACTCTACCTCTTTTTCAGCCTCACAAGTTTCTCATCTCACTTCCCTCCTTATTCAGCCTTAATTCCATGATCAGTCATTATAATCACACCCCTGTACACATTCTTTTTTTATCTTTCTTTCAACTTTATTGAGGTATAATTGATTAAAAACTTCAAGGCGGCCGGGCATGGTGGCTCACGCCTGTAATCCAAGCACTTTGGAGCCCAAGGCGGGCAGATCACCTGAGGTTGGGAGTTCAAGACCAGCCTGACCAACATGGTGAAACCCCGTCTTAATAAAACAAACAAACAAACAAACAAACAAAAAAACTTCAAGGCTGGGGAAGGTGGCTCATGCCTGTAATCCCAACACTTTGGCAGGCAGAGGTGGGCGGATCACTTGGGTCCTGGAGTTCAAGACCAGCCTGGGCAACATGGCGAAACCCCATCTCTACCAGAAATACAAAAATTAGCCAAGCATGGTGGTCAGTAGTCCCAGCTACTGGGGAGGCTGAGGTGAGAGGATCACCTGAGGCTGGGGAGGTTGACGCTACAGCAAGCCAAGATCATGCCACTGCACTCCAGCCTGGGCAACAGAGCAAGACCCTGTCTCAATTAAAAAAAAAAAAAAAAAAAAGGATTTATTTCTAGCTAATCACCAAGCACGTTATCAGTATGTGGATTTGTTTGCCCCAGCCTTGAATGAACCAGGTAATGAGGAAATCAGGATGAGGTTCCTAGGGGATAGGAGGAATTGATGGTTTGATTCAGAGAAGGCTCAGTAGAAATGGAGTACCCACTGACATGTACAGGCCAGAGATGCAGGGAAGATAAAAGCACATGCATGAATTATGGTGAAGCTCTTTTTACCTGAAATCATCACCAGAGGGAGTTTCTGCATTTGTGCCACTTGGGCTTCCGTCATCACTGTCCCCTCGTTGCTGTGCCAATCTGCAAGCCACAAAAGCAATAGTGCTATCAATTATGGGCTCTAAACCAAGAGGAGTATGGCGGCCTTGCAAGCAGGGTAAGGCAAGGAGTCAACTAAAAATGCTGCAAGGCGGAAGTGCACTGCCTATCCTCATGACAACGAAAACCCTACAGCAGTGCTGACAAGAGCCCCTTCTCTCTCTAGTCCACCTAAAGGGTGGAGGAAAGGCTACCGAAAAGATTAAAGGAAACTCCTTTAAAAAACAAACCTGACAGGGCCAAGAAGGCCTCAGGAAAGTCAGTCAGGAGGAGGGAAAAGAGGAAGCAGGGGTGTGTGCGACGGAAATGGGAGAAAGTGGGGAGATAGCGACAGAAAGGACAGGGGACGGGAACCGAAATTATTGAGCGTGCAGGGCATTGCGTTAAACAAAGGGCAGCCGCGAGAGTAAGGGGCTGGGATGATATGGGGCAGATGAAAGGCAGAGGCATGGTCGGGCCAGGCATACAAGTCCCGGATGGGGGCAGGAAGAGCCGCGTGAGGCGGGGGGGGGGGGGGGGCCTTCAGACCAGAGACCTTGGTTGGGAGAAGAGAAGATGGCTTTTAGGAGCGGTCTGGCCGCCAGGCCGGGGGTGGGGTGCAGGGCTGGGCGGCGGGCCGGGGACGGGGCCGCAGGGGCAGGCTGACGGGCAGGCAGAGCCGGGCGCCGGCACCTGCTTCCGCGGTAGCTGTAGAGACAGTAGTGGCTACTGGACGGCGGCTCGAGTCTCCGCTCCTCGGCTGAGCCTCCCTCTTCGCTGCTCTCTAGCTCCTTTTCATCCCCATCCAGCGATTCCTGCAAGGAGGGCAGCATCGCAGCGGCCTCGGAGCGGCCCTGTGTCTCCGCCAAACCGCTCCCCGCTGCCGTGCAGCCGTCGGTATCTGGGCTCGTCCGGCTCTCGGCCCTCGCACACCAGCGTTCCGCTTGTTTCCCCGGGTTCTCAGGCCTGGAAAGGGAGGCTCTTCTCCCCGCAGGGACTGACGGGGGCGCACTGAGTTCGCCAACACTGAAAAGCTTTTACCATTTCCTTTTAACTTATTTTCGTTTGAGAGGTCTGGGAAACTTACCATGTGATAAAGGTGGCACGACTACCTAGCCACAGGGAAAAGAATAAGGCTACTTGTTTGCTTCCTTGGCGCGTGCCAGCACGTACACACACCTGTTTGATCAAAAAGTTAAGAATTTGGCCGGGCACGGTGGCTCAAGCCTGTAATCCCAGCACTTTGGGAGGCCGAGGCAGGTGGATCACGAGGTCAACA